TATATAAATAAATTGAATTGAATTGAAAACAAACAACAGCTTGCAATCAACAGGAACAGGAATACTTGAATGAAACATGGCCTAAATATAGCCTAAACTGAGCATTGAACATCTTGAAAGTCCATTCGACTATGGATATGGGGAATGATTTCATATCTGAAACAAAAAACACACACAAAAAAAAAAAAATAACTTCATATTTTATCACTTAATAGCTTAATACAGACATAATATTTAGTGATATGCAGCCTTATTCTAGCGTATAGGGGAATTAAAACCATTTCCCACCTCGAAATAGTCAGAAATACGTTTCTGCTGCCTATTGCCAGCCATGCCTAAATGAATGTAAGGTGGCGGAAGCACTTCGGGGGGAGTAGCCTAGTTTTTTATAAAATATTAAAATAATGAATCATTAGTTTATATCTTATACAAAGCCCATCATTTTAATCCCATATCAAACACAGTCTTTTAAAAAATAAATACATAAATAATTTCATGTTTTTAAGTACAATATTATGTTACCCCACAGCCCCCCACCATGGGGGGCTGATGCTATGACGAGGGAGGCTGCAGCCCCCACAGCACCCCCCTTCCCGTGCCACTGGCTGGATGCAGCCAAGACCCGTCAGAATGATGGTGCAGCAGTTACATATCTCCTTTTTGAAGAGAGTTTGAGTCAGAAATTATCCATTTTGTTTTCCAATGAGTGGACGTTGGAGAGCAGGGTCATCCATTATTTTCCACTATAGTTTTGTTGATATCCTTCCATAGCACTCCGCAGCTTTTTAAACAGCCAACAGTATTTAAAACATTTTGTGACCCTAGCTCCAGCAGGTGTTGGCGATCATAGATGCGGGTTTGATTTTTGGTTTGTATCGTTTTAAGCGGCATATTTTGTGAAATTGTCGAGAGGAGCTGCTCTTTGCCGCTGCCTTGGAGCGCCACCGTGGTAACAAGAAATACCTAGATTATAGATATGGAGCCAAAAATATCCGCACCAGCTGACCTGTTGTGGACCATTTTTGATAGTTTCTAAAAACTCATTACTTTTTCTCCATAAAGGCAGATCTGAATGGAAAATGTGTCAAGCACATTACAACTTGTACAATTAAAAAAAGTTAATGTATCTAACTGGTGTAGCTTAAAAAGTGGAACTAGATTGACATATTTAAGCTACTTCATTCTTTTGATATTGCTAATTAGGTCAACAGCTAATAAAAACCACATTTCAGTAGCCTATAATATTAGAGGACTAAGACCAATAAAAAAGGTTCTAACACAGGCATGTTTTAAATGTCACTTGCAAAAAATGTATCACATAAATAAGAATGTTTCTATATAAATAAATTATTCAATATTTTATCTAGGTAATTAACTAATAAATACCTATTTTTACTTCTTGGCCATCTTGCATGTTTTGGATCTCCTGCTGTACAAATCAAACATGTTTTTTCTACCACAATACGTTACTTGAATATGTGTATTTTGTTTAGGCAGGCATGGGAATTGTGTTTTCACTCCCCAACCCTTTTTGAATCAGCAGAAAAGTTTAAAAAGAAAACCATCAAATGAAAATCAAACAATCCAAACCAGAGCTCTGTAGATGTGTGCACAAGTGGTTAAAAAACTATTGGTATCTCATGCTTTCAGCCAATGAATATGTTACCGAAAGCCTCATCCAAACCTGCACCACAAACATTATGATATAAAATCCTCATAAATACTATGACCACCCAAGGTGGCACCAAAATGCAGGTTTTCGAGGAAGTGGGACTGGAAGATATCATCCCCACCCAGACTGCAAAAAAAAAAAAAATGAGATGAGTTCACATCATGTTGACATTTAGTGGTTTCACTGGGTGACACATCTTCTCTGTACATCCTCAAATATGTTGGAACCCCCAATAAAAGAGCCTTACAGCTTAAAGATACTACTCAGTAACAGCTAATTTCATTAAAATGAATCACTTCCATTAGCACTTCTGCAAAATTCTGAAATAATCAAACTCTTGGGAGACATGTAACACCCACAATAAACCATTCTGTTTAAGCATGGTTGAAAAGCAAAGTCTGGCTAACACAGAAATAGTGAGTGTTCTAGTATGCTGTCCAAAAACAAAGAGGATCACATAAATCACATAACTATATACAAGCTTTAATAACTGAAGTCCTTTACATTGGAGGACTGGTTGATGTTGCTAAGAAGATGACAGAAGTATTAAAGATAGATGTAATATATATGCTTAACACTGTGGAACAAACACATTTTAAAGTGTTTATTAGAGGCCCTGTCGTATCACTTTCAGTAGGAGATGAAGTCTTCAGCAGACTTTCCTACCTGAATAAATGAATCAAACGAGCCTGCTCTGGAAGATGGTTTCAATAATATCTTTAATATCTTCTGGGAAAAAGAAACAACTCTTCATAAGAGATAAATTTTGCCTGAATGGATCAGTTGCAAAACTTTTGG